CCCTTTTTTTTTTTTTTTTTGGTGGGGGTCCATTTATAGGCATGACCCCAAACAGTTCACCTTTGGGTCCTTTGGGCAGCTGAGAGAAACTCTTTGGGCCAAAGCATCGACCCTTGCATTCTTTTTGTTCTCTTTGGTTTGGTCTTGGGTCATGTGGTACTTTCTGAATGGCCTGCCTGAACAAGTGGGCAATATGAATCTCAAAGTTGAATCATCGTCAACTTGCCTTTCTGCCTCACAGGTTTTTTTCATGGAGCCATGCTTCACCACAAATCATAGTTAGCCAGATCCAGTTCAGGAATTTGTTCAAGAGGCACGACCAAGAGCTTCCAAGGCGATGTTCGTTTAGTTTCTCAAGTCGGATTTCAACCCCATTTTGGATGGTTGAAAGGGACGCCACAAGGAAGCAACCCAGTAGCGCTCCCCTTGAGAATCACACACATGTTGACAGTATAGCAATTTGGGTTGTCAAACTCGGTTACCCCGAGTTTTCCTTTTGGTTTCACTTGGAAAGCCCGGATAAAAATTAGGAGTTTCGCCCCTTGGATCCCGTAGGAACGTCACCTTCGAAGCGTCAGGTCGTGGCTGAACCCCATGGTGGCCAAACTAGGCTCGGACCTGGGACGAAGGGGCTGGTGGGGATGTCTCAGCTTTTCGGCTCGTGGGTGCCGCCGTTCTTTCCATTTGCTTAGGAGTATGTCTTTTGATTTTCCCCCTGTTGTTTTCAAAGGGAGTCCATCTCACTACTGGAGATATTACACATATGTATATATTGTATATATATAGAGAGAGATATATATATATACCAGCCCGGTGAAACAACGGACCAGCCACGACGACAACCTTCCAGCGGTATTGCGGAGGCATGCAGAGCTATGGGCCCTTTGGGCCCTTCGGGTGTCACCGCTGCCCACCGCATTTTTGTTGGAACAGGTCGTCCAGTGGGGGGCATTTGGCCAACTGCACGCCTGATGCAACGAATTTCCCCCAGAAAAAAAAGGAAGAAAAAACAAAGTTTGATGCTCACCCAGGTTTCTCCAATGGCGGTAACCAGTTCGAGCTTCCTCTAGGTGGGATTTGTCCAGGTGGCTTTGAACACGCAAAAATCAGCCTTTCAAGTGGAGGTAACCCTGCAAAAAGATTATCACCCCACGGCACCCGGCCGCTTCCAGCATGATAGTAGATGGCACCAGCCCCTTCCTCCTTGTCCACATGGTGACGGAAAGAAATGGAAAGGCTGTGCCATCTACATGTACCAGCACCCTCCAAGGGTTGTTGGCACCCAAAATGGCTCACACAAGGGCACTTCAGGTACAAATCGACCACCCTTGAAGGGTGCTAGTAGCCAACGGTACGAGTCGGTTGCAAGTTTCGAAGAAACCTTGCCAAATACCCCGCAAAGGACAGCGGAAGGGCTAGGCTTTGGCTATTTGGGCCTTGCCCCCAGCAGGTAAAGGGACGCCCAGCAAACTCCCTGGAAAGTGGGGCATAAAGCTCATCCAAACGAGTGGTTTATCTATCTCTAACCTCATCTGGTCCCCCAAAGAGGATCTGCGCCCATCCGCCGAGCGAGGGGCGTCCTGGAGCAGCGCCATGTCCAAGTGCAACGCGGACGAGCTGCCGGCGGTGAACCCTCCATCCTTCCAGGCGACGCGGGGCTTGGGTGTTTCGGTTTTCGGGGGGGGGGGAGGATTCGGGGTTCGAATCCCTTGCAAAGGTTCCATTTTTTTTGGGGGAGGGGGGGGGGGGCCGGTTTCGGGGTTCGTTTTTTTCTTCATTTTTTCAAATGACATGGGGTTTAATTTGGGGTTTGCTGCGGGTTTCATGTTTCTTGTTTCTGTTTTCTTTCTCCGGGAGCGCTTGGGGCCCAAAGTCCCCATGGCCGCGGCAGAACCTCCCGCGAAATGACCCCGCGGGGTTTTGTGGGAGGGGCGCCGGGGCCCAACCTGATGGTTTTCTCGTTGGCCATATTCAACTAGGAGTCGGCTTGGGCAGGGAGAAGGGTGGAGCCACACGCACCTGGATAGGCATCTGTCTGGCTAACATGGCCATGGTTCAAAAACAATGATACCATTTTGGGATGGGTGCACCACCCATTTTAGTCTATTTTGCTGGGGATTGGGATGTCTACTGGGGGTACGGGGTTTTGACCCGTTGCCATATGATTCTCAAGACGTCTGTGTGTTGTGAGTGTGGCAAAGGGAAGCCCGGTATGGCACAGAATTCCCTCATTCTGGCTTAGTCACTTAGTCATCTTCGGGAGTTGCGCCATCACCTTCCACCTGTAAATGGCAATCGATGCTCTTCACCGATTCCAAGCCCAAAGGCGCCCCCGCAAGCACCCCGGTTTCCGTTTCTGATCCAGGCCTCCAGACATGGCAATCTTTTTTGTGCATGGCTTTCCCTTTTAAAGCCAGCTTGCCCAAAAACTAAGGTAATTTCCACTTTGAGATGCCTTTTATGCCCAAACACTAACATCATTTCCACTGTCCCCCAACTCCGGAGCCCTGAGATGCCCCAACCGTCCCCCGCCCCGCAAGCCAAACCGTTTGGCGCGCGCAATTCGACGACTGGGACGCGGCGAGGCCCAGCGGCAGGGGGAGCGCTTCGAGAAGTTGTGGCGAGAGGAGTTGGAGCAGTACGGGGACCAGGCGCGAAGACGTCGCCCGGAGGGCTCTTGAGGAGGGGGTGTCTGCGTTGAGGAGTTGGATTTGTTTTCCAGGCGCGATCGCCCGGACCTTCGGGAGGAGGGGGTCTGCGTGGTGGAGTTGATATTTTTTCTCCATGGGTGTGGCTTGGTTTTTGAAGGTGCACCATTTTTGTGGCTGGTAAAGGGGAAACCCGGAGGACAACCACGTTTTTATTTTATTTTTGGTGGGGGGGGGTGTCCCCAAAAAGGAGGCACCAAATCTTGGTGTTCCTCTTGACATTTCCATTTGCCACAAGGTAGCCTCAAGAGATACCCAAAGGATCACCGCATCATGTGGCGCATTTAGTTTCAAGGTCCTCGCGCCTGGGATCTCTTGGAAGTTCACATGTTGAGATTCACCTTCTGCCTATAGCGAGCTCACAGATGGGGTAAACCGAGCTCACCATGGCCCCTGGCAAGGATCCTGTACTTGGGGATCAGTTATTTCAGGTTTCAGGTTTTGGACATATGGTACCATGTGCAGACAGTATCATTTGTTGGGAGCAAAGCCGGTCGTATTTGATTTGTTTTCTTGCGATCAATGGCACATCCGGTTTTAATCACAAAACAGCCCGCACGTGCGTACGTTGAGGACATTAATCCTTGGGCCTTCTCCAAAGTGGACGGATGCCTCGGAAGGCGATGCATTGCTTTGTTGTTGTTCTGTAGCACTGCGCTGCGGTGCGCTGCCTGTTGGGTATGGGCCAATGAAAACCCAACCAAAATGTTCCCCAATCCCCCTCGCCCTGTTCCAGGGAACTCGCACAGCCGCGCCTGCGTGGTTTCTCCCTGGAAAAAAACGACCTCCCAGCCACCAACTCGAAGCTGATCACCAGTTTTGCTGGTCCAGTGACGCCAGGAGTTGGGGACCATATCTTAGGGTTGACCATTTTAGCGTGGAACCCATGAAAGGGAAGCGGGTGCTGAACAACTTGAGAGCCCAACTGTGGGATCTCCGCAGTAGATCACAAGTCTGGCAGTCTGGCAGGTTGAAACATGTTGCTCAAAAGGCACATATATAAAGTCACTCGCTGAAGACATAGCACAATAATTAGGTTCACTGGGGACAATATGCAAATTAACCAGAACAAAAGCTACCGGTTTGTGTATAGGTGATGCGATTGATTTTTGTCGAATTAAGCAGCAAGAACATTATTGGGCTTGGCTGCAGCTGAGATATTTGGATCTAGATTACTACGGGTTGGGCCAAGGAAACTCTTGAAGGGGCCAATGCCATTGGGATGGCTTTGACTTCTCACAGGCTGGTGGCCTGCACTTGCCTTGCGGATTTATGTGGAATGGTGGTACAGGGCCTTGTTTTTCCGTTCCAGGTCAACACTCCGGCGGGGGTATATAGGGTTCGTGCATGAAGATAATTTGCTGTCAAAGGTTGGCTTGGGAAACCAGAGGGGAAAGCACACATTTGGGGTGCTTAGATGGTCTGGGAGGAGGTGGGTGAGTGGTTAGTAAGCCTAGTTGCCAGAGTTTGCACGAGGGCAACTAAGGCTGCCTGGGGCTTGGCGTGGCTGACCACTTCGCCAACCTCCCGCATGTTCCGGGAAGGTTTGAAACGAAAAGGAAAGCCACAAATCTGGGGCCAACCACATCCTGTTCCCCACCCAAACCACTCCCTAACCACCAAACGACCAACCCAAACCGACAACGAGGGCAGCTGAGCACACCTTCCCCCGCCAACGGCGCCCGTCTGTCACCTCTCCACGTCGCGCTTCCCCCAAAGGCCAGCTTCGTGCGAGCGATGATGAAGCTTTGGACCTACCCTCGCCTCGCGACGCGGCCAGCAGAATGGCCCCTCACGTCCGGTTCCTCACTTCCTGAGTTCATGAACTTTAGACTTTTTGTGAAGACCATTTTAGCGGTAAATATTTTAGGACTTTTTTTTTGGGCCATCCACTCAGCAAGTGAGATTTGTGCTTTCTGCCTGTTTTTATCGCGAGCTCGCTGAGCTAGGGTGAAACGAGTTTGAAAGCCACGGGAAGGATGCTTTTCTTGGGGATGCCTGATTTCAGGCTTTGAGATTATTGTAACGGGTGCTCATGAATTCTTTGATGTGCTTCTCTAAAAAAACGGTTGAAGCTGAGGGACGGGGAACGAGGACTCGTAGGCAGCCTTTTTCTTAGAAGCAGCACCTTACGCAAATGGAAGCTTGAGTTACCCCGTGTTTCGGAGCAAAAAGGCGCCCCCTACGGTCCAAACCACCAAACCAAACCACCAACTGGGGATGAGGCGAGTTTTGGACGCAGAAGGTTCAGGCGGAGGAAGTAAGACTCCCTCTTGCACCCGCAAAATGGGCCGAGTTTTTGTTCACTCGATACTGTTTCGGCCAGAGCGAGCTGACCTGGTTTCCTTGAGGTGATCACCTCTCCTTCTTGGTTTTCTGGGCCTTCGGGCAACGACAAGCTTCTGCAATCGGTTGGTCGGTCCGTTGGTTGGCTGGCTTGTTTGCTTTCTTGTTGGCTCGTTCGCTCGCTCGGTTGGTTGGGTTGGCTGGCTGGCTGGCTGCTGGCTGGTCATGTCTCAGCTTTCATATTTTTGATTTGTTGCAAACCTTCGCGCAGCTCGCGGGGACGTATCAGACCTGATGTCAGTCAGACATTTGACGCTTTTCTGCGTTGCGGATGGTGGCCGAGATCTGACGCTTTTCTGCTGAGGAGGGGTGCCTGGTTTTGAGGGTGACTCCTTCAAAGAAACTCCCATGCTAGCAACTTCCCTCGCCGAATTTCGGGATTCGCATTGCAGTAAGCATTGAGTTCAGACAGCGGTAGTCAGGTGTATGACAGAGCTGGGGAGTTAGATTGCCTTGGACCTTTCGGTGAGCTTGTCTTTGCACGATGTCTGCTAGGAGGTACTGTGGACGGACAAAATTTTGCACCACTTGGGAACAATGGGAAACCCTTGTTCATCGGTATTTACAAGGGTGTCATCATTTCCAGGATTTCTTAGGTGGTGCGAATCGGATTTCGTCCATCCACAGTATGTCCCACACATCCCAAAGCGGGATTCAAGTCTTGACAGATCTGGTGGGGCGCAGAAACAGGTCTTCGTGTTTACCAGCCAGCCCGAGAAGCACAGACCAAGCAACATACCAACAGCCCTATCCTCACCAAAACCGAGGCTCCTTTTGGTTTTGGGCCAGGACACCCTCCCATTTGCTCAAAACAACTATTTCGTATTTTCCTTTGTTGGTTTTAACGAGAATCAACTGGACATATTTGTTTTTTTTTCTTGACTCCAGCAAATGGCCATGGGTCGTAATGCCTCCATTTTGGAGCGGAACACCCATGTACCACCTTCGTTCACCAGCACAGGGGTCCACAGCCAAATGGCCATGGGTCAAAATCCAAGTCGCCCCGCTGAACATCCCAATCCCCACTAAAATAGGTTCTAAAATGGGTGGTGAATTCACCTACCCCAAAATGGGATGCCATTGGTTTTGACAACCACAGCTCTATGAAGGACCCCAGAAAACCACCGGTGGCCCGCCACGATCCCCCTGACCCCCCGCCGCGGCCGAGCTCCTCTTCCAGCTGCTGCTCTTCCTCCACGTCGTGGTGGGCCGCTTCGATCTGGTTTTCCGCGGGTTTGCTGAGTTCTTTTCGGCGTGCGGAAGGCGGAAGGCCGCTGTTTTTTTTTTTTTTTGTTTTGTGTGTGTGAGGTTATTTGGGCCTCAAGATGGGCAACCCACTTTTGGGACTTTTTGGGACAGGTTTTCAAGGGAAACCAAAAAGAAACCACCTACTTGTGGGGTCCCCCCCATTTTGACGAGCCATACCCACTTCGCTCTGTTGCCTTTCTTTCCTCTTTTGCGGGTTCCTCTTTGCAGGAGCCTGGCAAAGGCAAGAAATAGGCGCTCAACATGGATTGCCCTGGAAAATGGAGCCCGGGGCCAAAACCTGCGGCCCAAGTCCTGGTGGCTTAATGTTTCGAACCCATAGATACCCATCTTGAAAGAAGGCTTGGCTCCCCCCCTCCTCCATTAGCAATGATGAGGGGTGCGCGCACTACGTACACAAAAGTTACGTGTGGCCAAAGTCTGGCCAGCTCAAAGCGGACCCATTGTCTTCTTGGTTGCGTTTGATGAATGTCAAACCAGTCGTTAAGCAATGTAAGGGTGTCAGGCACGTGCTACCTTTCGTTGATCCCGTTCTCAAGTTTGTAGAGACATGTGCATGGTGTCTCCTTGGACCTCTCTCCTTGGACTTACCTTCTGCGTAGGCAAGCCAAATATATAGACCGATAGATCGATAGACTGGTAGATCGGTAGACTGGTAGATCAGCAGATCGACAGATGGATAGATTGATAGATCGATCGAGTGATAGATCGATAGGTAGACATTCACCATACTTAGTTGCTTGCAATCATTTGTCACACATGGGCCACCAACAGTTTTTCTTTCAAATATCCCACGCTTGAACAAAGCCTAGACTTTTCATTCGGACATGTCTGTTGGCCCCGCAGGCCAACAGAACTTATTCTTGGGGTCCTTACCCCCAAAATACGATCTCCCCAAGCATGGGGCCTGCCCAAGGTTGAACTTTCGCCGGGAACGCCCCACTTTGGCAACACGAGTTCGCGTGATTTCCAACACGGGAGCCCACGCTGGGGGCTTGGTTCAGGGTCTTTCTTGTAATTTTCCGCCAACAGCGAGTTTCACACCACCTTCATGGCTGCTTGGGAAACATCCCTCTTGGATGTTTAGGCATGCCGCCCCCGCAGCTGGTCATGTGCACCTGCTTTTGGGTTTGTGGCTCTGTCAATTTGAGGTGCGGGTTCTACAAAAGCAGCGCGGGCGCGCACACACACACACACACAGCAACACATGTTTTGCTGACATAACGGAAACATGGATTTGCCTCTTATGCCCCCCACCCCCCCTCCCCGCCTTCCAAAAAAAGAAGAAACACTGATGTGTGTCCCTTCAAACCTGGAAACCAACCCCCAAAAGGTAGCCTTGATCAAAGATAGACCCTTATAGAGAGCAGCCTGGTTGAAACATCATTGATTCCTCCGCTCGGTTTGTGGGGCATAGATCAGCTCGGATGGATTTCCGCTGGTTCCAGTTTCAAGTCAGATACCAGTGGAACCCATCGATTTTTTCCAAAAGGACACCTGACACATAGGGACATCTACGGACACCTCGGGACACCTGGGGGTACAGTATGCGCAAAGAAAGACTACACATGGTTTTGTCAAAGCTAGTCCCCCAAGCAGTCATTTGTTGTAAACCTAGCCAGGTTAAGCATGTAGAAGCAAGTGCCCTGAGAGGGATTTCATGAAGTGGCTTTCCAATTTGTTGGATCCCCGCCCTCGCGCCCCATGCGGCCAAGGCAACCTCTATCAGGTCTTCCTGATCCAGTACTCGCTGAATTACTTCTTTTGGCTGCAGGAGTATGCCGCTCGCCGATTCAATCGCTGTCAGGTGAAGGCGTCACCAAGGTGGCTTGAGCCGAGTTTCACCTTTTCTATTCTTGACCTGAGACGGTCAGACGTTACACGCGTTTTACTGTTGACCTCATATGACTCACCCCGAGCTTATTCATTGGGGGGTGTTCCTGCCTTTAGTGGGGAATCAGACCACTTTTGGAGCGCCCACCCTAAGCTGGGGTTGATGAAGGGGTCAAAGTTCAGGCTCAGATCCGGCCCCGTGCCCAGGTCAGGCAGAACGGACAGCATCCTGACATGACGAAGCCGATTTTGTGGTCCATCGCCGCCCGGCTCCGGGGTCAACATTTTCGACGGTTTCCTGGAATGTCAGCGTCCCTGTAATCTGCGACTTGGGGGGGTGACTTCTGTTTGAAAATGGTGAAACAGTGGGGCCGGTCTTTGATGCTTCCGGCAAGTTCAAGTCAACGGATTCTCCGGCCAAAGAGAACTGGAGCACGGAGACGCCCGATTTTCACCAACCTGAAACGGGTACTTGCAAAGAAAACACACCCACAAGTCACCTAGCAACATTCGCCAGCTTACTGTGTCTCGGTGTCTATGTGTCTCTGTGTCTGTGTGTCTGTGTTCCTGTGTCTCTGCGTCTCTGCGTCTCTGCGTCTCTGCGTCTCTGCGTCTCTGCGTCTCTGCGTCTCTGCGTCTCTGCGTCTCTGTGTTTGGAGTTTCGGCGCTGGGGATAGGAACTATCAGTTGACAGCCACAGCTTTCCTTTGTTCTTGGCAAGAACCTTGGCATGTATTGTTCTTTTAGAAATGTTTTTACCTCTGTTCACTTATGCCTAAATGGAGGCTGCACACAGCATGTGCAAGCATGCCGCCGGAAAGGTCCTGTTATTCGTCCCCGTTCGTTTGCCCGGCTTGTGGAACCATGATTCATATTTGGGGCGTGCTGCCGGCTGGACCTTTCGCTCAACGGGGCACAACGCGCAGCTTTCCAAATCTTCAGAGCCTGGAGCAATCATACAGATCTCCCATGCTTTGATATTTCCCTGGTACCATCAAAGACAGGGCCATACAAACATTTTTACGGGGTCCTTCGGTTTCCACCCACCACAGCATGACGTCTCATCTTACGAGACACCCGGCAAGCTCGTCCATCCCGCGTGCGTCCGAAAGGAGCCCATGGTTCGAACCCAGTAGTCCAGCTACAGACTTTACTCGCCCGATTATTTGAGATTCGCTGCACCGGCTTTCAGAGATTTTCCATTTGAACCAGCAAGTCGTTGTCACTTTTTGCAGGTTCGAAGTTCGGATCACTCGGGTCAAGCGTTTCAAGCCGATCGAAGCCGAGGTGGCCTTTTCTTTTCAGCCCTTGGTGCGGACCTGAGTGGCGCAGCTTCTTTCTGGTTCCAAGGGGTGTGGATTTCTGGGGCGGCGCACTGTTTCTGGGGCCTCTTCCAAACAATGTGTGGTTTTAGAGCAGGCCAACCATGATTGGACAAGTCTTGCGGGTAGCTGCAAAGGGAAGCGCGTGGAAATGGGACCTCCCCGATTAAGAACTGGGGGGTTACTATTCAGAGGTCGGCGACATGTAAGGAAGCGCGCCAATGTGAGGCATTGCCCCAGTGTTGCCAGCCACAGTTGAGACGCCAACGCGAGAAGGGTCAAGCAGCTGTGCAGATTTCTGCGCTGCCTTTTCTTTGAATCGGGAGTTTACAGGGAAACCACAGTGAAGCCGCCAATAAAAGGGTTCCCTCATTCTAAGGCAAACTCAATTTGGAGCATCTAAACTGATATATGTGATTCTGGTCGAATATGAAGTGAACCTGGAAGTGTAACCAATTGATAATTTCAATAGAGATCCCAGAAATGGACCAACGACGAGGCCGACTTGCTCCCATCCAAAACTGGCGTGGCTTTGGACTCGAATTTGGCTGTCCCTTCCAGCGTGCTTTCGGGGCGTAGGCAGTCATAGGCATCAAGTTCAATTTGCTGGGCGGCCAAAGCAAACTTGGGACCGCATTGGGATGCTGCTGGCAAGAAAGCCAAAAGGAATCCAAAGGGAAACAAACATTGTTTCTCCCATGTTGACCCTGGATTCTGTCAAACCGTGTGTTTGCCCCCCCCCCCCAAAGCTGAAGTCTCCTCTTTGCAAATGGGATGCCGTGGGCTTAGCCGACTTCGTGCCCAAGGCGTTTTGCCGACGCCACTAGCAACCGGCTTCGCTGACTTAAGGCGAATCGACCTTTGAACCTCCTGGTGCGTCCCTCTGGCAACCAAGTTTAGCCCAGAACGTCATGCCCTTGGCTTTCCAGTGAAGAAACCAACCAACAAAAGGGCTTTTCTGAGTCCAATTTTTGAGAAACATCCCTCGGAGCTTGGCAAACGAGCCCTCGCGTTGCCTGCCCAGTTGTTTGCGGTGCTGTGCTCGTGCCTGGGCCGCCTTCAGCCGGGGGTCGGGCTGCAAGAGGTGGGTGGTCGTGAGCCTCGGTACCCTTTTCACCTTTGAAGGGAAGCAAAAGAAGCACCACTTTGGGGCCCGATCTTGACAAACACGCATACATAGTTCTGGTGTTGGCCGACATCGTGGTTTGCCCCTCGGGTGACGCCTCAACCCTGGAGGTGCGAGACTAGGGAACCTTCTTGCTTGTTTGTTGGGTTGCTTGCTTGCTTGTTTGTTTCGTTCCTGGTTCACAAGCGTGGGCGCGCTATCTACGAGGAGTTCTCACTCCAGAGGCTGGTGAAAAGGTAGCGTTGGCACTCGCAAACGGCGCCAGCTTTCGGTCCGCCCACTCTCAACTCAATGTCGGCTTCGTTGTTGCGGCGTGACTCCTAAAACGGCACTGTCTTCTGCTAGGTCGGCGGATTTACTGAGCCTCGCATGGCAGTGCTTGAGTCTCTTCGTTTTTTTGTGTGGGGGGAGGGTGCCTAGCAAAAAGCAAGGCATGTGATGTATTGTGTCTTGGCGAGGTGGCCTCCTTGTTTGACTTTTGGCCTTTGGTCGTGGGGCTTAAGAGGGCTATCCTTTCCATGGGGTTCGGCCCACAACAAAGCAGTCCAAAGCGTCAAGACTTGTTTCCTCCTATGTTCTGGACAGTCAAGCTTTCTGGGGGTGGGGCTTGGCGACTTGATTTCTGGTTCTTGACCACCAATCCAAAAAAAACAAGGAGAACAAACAGCTCAGGGTTGGGGTTGGGTGGTTGCGGTGGTGGTGGTGGTGATGTTGGTGGGGCGACTCTGGTTTCGCGTTAGGTACGAGGCCAACCTTAGCATGAAGTTCGACCAGGCCACTGCAGGTGTTGCCGCGGCCTCAGCGACTGGAACGCCTGATGGTAAAATCTTGGGGGCCAGTGGTAGGAAGCCAACAGGAACCAGCCTTCAAAACCAAACGGAGCATTTGTGCCATGTCTGCATATTTTCTGGCGAGCTCCCTTGGTTCGGGTGTAAAAAGAGAGGTCGTGATGAGCGTCCTGTGCTTGGGGACATTCGAGTGGTGACCATAATTTGCCCTTTTGCAGGGGGGCCTTGAAAACCAACAGCCAAAGGACCGGGAGAACCACGGAAAACGGGATGTGCGGCACTTTTGAGGCCTCACTTTTTGGAGCAAGAATCCGTGGAAGTCAGGAGGGCTTCGGAGATTCTAGCCTCTTGAAAGGCTCCAATGGGGTGTCTTGGCTGGTGGGGTCCCCTGAGAGGTGCCTCTGCCCATGGATTTAGAACCCTGATTCATCGATCGGGTGGGGCATTCTTACTTCACCAGCTTTTTCTTGGGCCAACAGCATGCAACTTGTAGAAAGAAACTCCTGAGCGCCACATCGCAGCCAGGTTCTCCATGAACGGATGCTTTCATAGAGCCGAGGATGAGAAACAACGCTATTTCCTGCCCTTCCGTTTCTGAGCCCGCTCTTCTGGATTATGGCCACCCCCGAGCTGAGTCCAGTCCCTCCCTCCTCGGGTTCCTCCCAATTGTCAATTTGTGAGTGTGTCTGTTTTTGCCCAAAGATGGGCGGTTTTGCTGTGGGTCCCTAGTTGAATCCACAAACAACGGGTACCAACACGTGATTCCTCTGGAAGTATTCCCTGAACTGTGTGCGCTGTTTTTAAGCAAATCTCCGGGTGGTGCCAACCAGGGCTGGGCCAACCTGTTTTGAGGCCCAAGAGGCCCCTCGGAGCGTGCCTTTGCTTGAAGGTCCCCTTCTTGGGGTTTCAGGGGAACGCCCCGAAGGAAACCAGGGTTTCCCCTGTTTGGCCATGGGTCAAAACAGTGAACATCCCAATCCCCACTAAAATAGGTTCTGAAAAAAGGGTGGTGAATTCACCAGCCAACCAAAATGGGATCCCAAAACGGTTCTGACCCCAGAGCCATTTGAGCCCTCAGATCGCTCAGATCGGCCCCCCCCCCCCCCCCGTTTCCGCGCGCGCCCGAGGGCGTGGTGATGTTCCGCAAGACCCAGCGCCTGCCTGCGGCCTCCCTTGGGCCCGACGGCAAGAGCACCGAGGCGCCGAGAGAGCGACATGGCCCTGGGTGTCAAAACCGGTTTGGGATCCCATTTTTTGGTTGGGATTGGTGAATTCACCACCCATTTTAGAACCTATGTTAGTGGGTATTGGGATGTTTTGGGTGGGATTGGTGAATTCACCACCTTTTTTTTAGAACCTATTTTAGCGGGGATTGAATCGGATGTTCACTGGGGGCTAACCGGGGTTTTGACCCATGCCCAAATCGACGGATGTGGAAAAGCGCCCCACTCAGAAGAAGCGGATCCAAAATTGGCCGTGGAGGTGATGTTGAGGCGGCGAACAGAAAGAACTATAGGGACCCAGGTGTGAGAACACAAATATCAACATGTAAAGATAAGCAGAAGTGTAAATGTAGATATAAACAGACATACAAAGTGTAGTCCACTGGGCCCAGGTGAGTACTCAAAACCGATTCGGGTAAGTGAAGGTTAATGGACAGTCACAAGCATATTTGTTTTGTAGTTCTTCGACTTGGTTTGAGTTTGGGCAGAAAAAACAGTACACGTCCCCCTCCAACATCACTAAAACCAGGCACCCCCATACTCTGGATGGACGAAGTCCGATTCGCACCACTTAAGAAACCCTGGAAATGATGATTCCCTTGTAAATACCAATGAACAAGGGAGGGTTTCTCATTGTTCCCAAGTGGTGCGAACGGATTTTGTCCATCCACAGTATTGTATTTATAAACGTTTGGATTTTACTCCCGAATCAACCTACCAAGCTCGAGCCCATCACCCGCCAGGAGCCCAAGCCAGGAGAGCCCATCACAAGGAGGCCCAATGCACCTTGGGCTTTCCGGGCTGCGGTGGATCTCGGTGAGTCGAGCGGAGAAAGTCCGGGTGGGTTTGTCCGTTTTTTGGGGGTACGTTTTCTTTTTTCCTTTTCTTGGGGGGGGGGGGTGGTTTTATATAAAGGGAAGCCAAAGGACAACCACATTTTTTTTTTCGGGGGGGGGGGGGGGGCTCCCCCAAGAAATACACACCCATGTATCTCGCTGGTCTCAGGACTTTGGCACTTTTTCAATGAATCCGGGTGGAAGTCAGAGTGTTGACAGGGTGTTCCCTTTCACCTACTTGAGGGTGACTTTAGTGGCACTGAATATGGGCTTCGTGACTGAAAACCCATGAAGGTTCGTTGGCCAGACCAACAGCTCACCCAAATACCAGCTGACGGGCAGTCCATAGGCGGCATAGGGAAGACACACATATATCGGATCTGATTCAGATTCGAAGCCTTCAGCAGATGGATGCACTAACATGGAACTAACATGGAACCCCTCCTGCGAGGTTCCATTTTGTGGATGGGAGGGTAGTCTGTTCCAGTCAATCAAAGAAATCACATTCGGCTTGTTGGCTTGAACAGGGATGATCCCACCCCCTGTTTGGCTGAGTATGGGTCACTTTGGTTGAACATAGGTTCCACCCAGTCAGTTTGGTTGAACATAGGCCAGTTTGGTTCAGAATAAATGGTTTCCGCAGGTGTTGGTGAGGTGTTAACTGCTCACCAGCAGAATCCCATGTTTTCCAAACCAAAGCACAGCTTAAGACAAGACCGTCTAGTTGAAACTGCATGGGCTCCACTGGGTCTGGGGTAAAAAGGGTCATGCCGGTTGCAAATGCATAGGTTCCGCTAGCTTCAGCTTGGCTCTCGTCATTTGCACTGCAGCCCATTTGTTTCCCAACAGTAGCCAACTGCAAACGGGGGTAAGAAATGTTTATCGGCCCTTTCCTGGGCCAACCACGGAACCAGGAAAGATCTCAGAATGCGGCTGAACCCATTTATTTTCCAAAAGGGTCCTCTTAAGCAAGCGAAAGCAAAGGCTTATTTCGCTCAGGGGACATTGCGCATAGCAAGGGACATGGCTGATTCCCAGAAGATGTGAAAGTGAAGCTGCAACAATAATTTCATCTCGAACCATAGGTAAATTGAGGTGAGGTTGGGTTTTCAGGCTTTCTATGATAATGGGACCCGCTTTCCAGTGACAGTGGCGATTGGGATGGCCCACTTTGGCATTGAAAGTGCACTTCGAGGCCGTGGTATATTTGTCACTCTCGTTGCCACTTCCTGCTGTAAAGTTGTCATGAATATGGGGATCACCCACTTTTGGATCAAACAAAGAACACGATTTTCCAGAGCCCTCGCAATCCTCGTCTACCTGGGCATGCGCGGCAAACTGCAGGCATGTATCAGGGAACCCTTGCGCTAGGGGTTTGAACCCCTGTTTCTTGTCGAGGGTACATGGGAAACCGCTTCCAGAACACTTTCCACACCACCCACCAATCCAAAATCCAAGCCACACTTACGGAAGCTGTTTCGAAAGGAAGGGATGGCAACCAAGCTTGTCAACCAAAGGGTTCAGCACACAGACCCCCATGGGTTGTTTGAGCCAATCAAAACATCACCCAAATATCCGCTGAGACCACAGCGGGCGGTTTTTTGGGTTCCCCTCATTTTGAGACAAACCGCCATGGGTCCCCCCGCAGTTGGGAGTCCAAGGCGATGATGGTGGTGAACAACGACGTCATCGCCAACTTCCACGGGCCGCGTGGCATTGGGGGAAATTCGATGTGTCATTCTCCCGCTAGTAATGCAGGGCTCCTGAAAAGAAAAAACAATTGCCACCATTTAAAACATGTTGCTTTTTCCTTTTAAAAGGACGCCGCCATTTACAAGGCAATGTTCAGGTGTATAATGTAAGGATCCCGGTTGAATTTGGCTGTGGCTCAAAAATCCGGTGCCAAAATGGCTTGCCCTGGTAAGTGGACACATGGACCAAAACCATTCTCCCTTTAGTAAGTTTACACTCGGAATCGGTCAGTCTAAAAAGCCTCTCGCCCCTTTTGAAGCCTTGAGGAGGACGGGATCTTGGCACGACCCTTTTCGACTCCAAACAGCTGCTCTTGCTCTTAGGCCCTTGCAAAGGCCGGCATGGGTTTACCCTCCTGTAGATTTACATTGACTCCCTCACGCCCAAAAAGCAACAGGAGTAGCATCTGTTTTGAGAACCCCTGGATAGGTGGCCTTTTTTTGTTTTTGTGATTTTAGTATGAACCGCAATTGGACATGGGTGAGTCGCTCGTGAGGGAGGGATGTTAGGCACGCGCAAGTTTCATTGTAACCGGCAGGGGGGTAAGGACATCCACCACCTGGAGCTTGTCTTGTAGCGGGCCATTTCTTTGGCAGCCTAAGCCTTTCCAGCGATCTTTTCGGCTGAGAATGTTCTACTCACCAACCAGGAGATTCAAGGTTGGCCGATTCAACCCGGTAGTTAAGATTGCTTGAACGACTTGAACCGCTGTTCTGCAAATTTTGCAATATGCCAAGACCAGAAATACTGCGTGGATCCCCAAGTAAAGGACGTGAGCTCGCCAGAACATAGGCCAGTGTTTAGCCAAACTCGGTTTAGTTCCCTTTAAATGGACCGAAGCAGATTGCTGACAAACAGATTGACACGCCCTGCCGTAAACCTTCGTTTCGGGCGCGCGAATTGGGACGTTTAGGACATTTTGCCTCGAGGCACCGAAATCATGCAGAGCACTTCAAAACTTGCTGGTGATCAGCAGGGAATGAGAAATGGAATGATCCCTGTAAACCATCCTTGTGGTTTCCTTTAAGGGGACCCCTTCCAGTTCATTCCCTCATTCCCAGCAAGACAAGGGCCATCTGCGGCGATTTTTTGGGGGACGTGAAGTGCCCTTCGAGTTGGGCGCAGCAACCCGGCCCGGCTCGAAGCTCCCCCCCGGAACAAAAACCAGGACATTGATCCATGGCATCCTTTGGCTTCCCAGGGCCCAACTTCCTAATGCGACCTTTTCTGAGCAAGGGTTGTTTTTTTTTTGCGGCACCCATCCATCGAGCCGGGCCGCGTTCGCGAAGGCTTGCCTTTAGCACGGCGCTGACCTTCAATGCCACGTTCACCGTGGCGATCCTTTTGATCCTCATGGCCGCTTGATCCGGGGCTTTCGAGGTGTCGTTGATTTCCACGACCAGTCAGCACTCCGGCGTCTTTTTCCGGGCACGTGGGATTAAGCGCATGTTTGGGTGGTGTCCTCCTTAGATCCTTCACAAACCAAAAAGCAAAACAAGGAATATGCAAGCAGGTACCTCACAAAAGGGACGTTCACCCGTTTGGCCGAGTGCAGTCCAGAACGTCAAGCCAGTTCTGCCGTGAGGCCGTCAAGCTGCGGCTGGCGACCTTGTTCTGCCTCGGTGTGGCGGTGCCAGGCTTCGAATCGCGTCCTCTACCGGTGAGAGGGTCAAGTTCCTTGCCGGTAAGCAAGGTGGTTCAACCCAGATGGACTTTTGCCAACTTTCATTTCCTGGCGGGTAAGTGAAGGTCGCCTACTTGCGTACCCTGTAGGTGGCCCCTAGATCTGCCAAAGCCCGTTTTGACCCCCTGAGAAGCAGCACAATCGATCGACCGGTGTCCTGCATTCCAGGGAGCGAGTTTTGTGGATTGGAGGGAACATGGAGTGGCGACCTGAAACTTGTGAAGTGCTGCCGACGTGGGATTCCGACCATTTTGTTCAGTACTGACCAGTTTAGCGGTTAACGAATGCGCTCAGGAAATGAGAGCCGCGCAGTGGGTTCGTTCCAGCCAGGAACTGGGTTTTGACGGTCTGTCCGCCAGCCCTGTGTTTTGATGCAGGGCTTCCCAAGTGAAGTGCCGCCAAGAAGGGGCGGCCCCCCTTCTCCCAAGAAAAATAAGGCTGAATTTCAAATTCAACGGCAACAGGAGTAGATTCGATTTTAAGCCTTTTGGCATTTGGAAACCAGCCTTATTTGCATTTACTTTTCGGCTTCATCCCCAAACATTGTGGCAGAAGACGACGCTGTGACATCATTTCTTGGGGCAAGTCACTTGGCGGTGCGGCAGCTTTGACGGTCTCGGTGGTGCTGAGCGGCGCGATGGGCATCAACATGATGCAACTCCAGGATGTCATGGACAAGCGCAGCCTGGGCGAATCAACGGGTGTGGGGAAGTGTCTTTTTTGTGGGTGCCATTTTTTGGGTGATGCTGGGCACCAGAAGGAAAACCACAATTTTGGGCGGGAGGGGGGGTAAAATGGGTATGTGGGGCCCGCTGGTTTCTTTCTGGTTTCCCTTTCAAGCATGGCAACCTCAAATTCACACGCGCCCATGCGAGGGGCTGAAATAGTTACGCAAATTACTCCCCTCATCATTTAGTTCGGTTTTGCAGTACCCGACAACACAATCTCATTCAGGCAGAGACCCAACGGTTGGGTTAGAGGCGATTCCGCGTGGTCGACGTCGGGTGACATCTGAACAATGCTGAACCATGTTTGTGCTCATTTGGGATTGCTGTTCAGGTTTGCGTGATTTGTCATTTTAGGGTTCGCAGAATTCGGGCCAACATCATACATGCTTCTTTGCCGATAGAACAAGCTGGGGTAAACAAATCCCCGTCCCGTGCGGCCGCTCCTCTGTAAGGCCCCTGCGGGCTGTTTGTTCATGCCCCCTGTGAATCAACCAGAGGTAGAAGGGAACCCCCCAGACTGGGAAGGTGGTTCTGCGCATGTGCCACTTGCCGCCATTTCCAACCGTGGTCATTCTCGGCCTGCAGCCTCGTGCTTGTGGGCTTGGGGTTCCAAACAAGAAGCCAAAACAACAAGGTGAAGCCACATTGTGCGCAGCCCATGTCCTATTTTGATTCAAACGATGGATGCATCTGAGTACAACCAGGTGTGCATTGACCTTTTCTACATGGGCGTGGCTGCTCATGTGTTGGAGCTGGTGCTTTTTTTCCATTTGTGTTTTCAACAGGGAAACCCAGGCAAGCCCAAAAATATGTGTAGATATGCAATCCACAGTTTTCAGCGATGTCGATGTATTCCGGCCATATACACACATATGCATGTATCTATATATATATATATGTGCAACACAATTCATTTTGCATCCTGATTCATTCAAACATGCACAGGTACAACCTGCTCGAGGATGCTGGAGGGAGAGAGAGAGGGGGAGACAGAGACAGAGAGAGGAGAGAGAGAGAGAGAGGAAAAAGCAAGAACAAAGCATCCGATTTTGCATGCGCGGATATCTGCATCTTTGCCACTTCTTCTTCTTCTTCTTCTTCTTTGTTTTTTGTCTGGGAGGGGGGCTGGATGGTTCCAGGGACTTCGGGGCTCCGAGGCATTTACATGATCCGGGAGGTGATGAAGGGCATCCGCATCGTGAAGTGCTACGCCTGGGAGCAGGCCATGGAGGCGATTGGCTCGCTCGAGCACAGCTGGCCGCCCTCACAAGGTTTGTTTGCCGGACAACCATCTTCAGACCGCCAATCCATGGTGCTTTGGATTGGTGGTTTGGATTTGACTGGCTCTTGTGGAGGGAGGCTGGGACGCCCCTCCTTGACCAAGGAAGCTGAAACACAGCATTTTACGGAGCCCCCGGTTTGGGCGTGGCTTTGTTTAGGGACCCCCAAGCCGGAGGTTGGTTTCAAGGGAAACCCACAGGAAACACACACACACACACACACACTTTAGATCAGCTTTCGTTTTTTGTTGCTTGGTGGTTCGATGGTTCGGTTGGGGACGGTGTCGCATTTACTCTGTCCAAATCCAAGCCAATCCAAACCCTACTTGGCGATTACCTGATTAGACGTGGTTCTGAGGGTTGGCCCCGGTCACACGGGTGGGAAGTTTGCAAATCCTTAGTTGTGAAAGGTTTTGCTTGCTCTTGGGTTCCCCTGTGGGACCATGAGCCTGGCTATTGAGTGCTTTGCAACCTATCTGAAACTGGGTCCATCAACGTGAAGATTTTGAGGGCCGCTCAAAATAATCGTGGCACCTGGCACCATCATTTAGGATGTCATTTTGAGGAGGTCACTTTAATGAACTTTATAACTTATATCCCACCTACCGCATAGCCAGGGTTGACCACGTGCACCTTTGGGAGGCAAGCCCGGTTGAAGCATCGCATGGGCCGCACCGGCCCCTTCACATAGGTTCCCAACCCCCCCCCCCCCCCATTGTTTTTAAACATGTCGCCCGGTTTGCTTGGACTTCTTCCTCAGACGCCCTTGCGAGGACCAGATCACCAAGCTCAGAACCAGGGAGCTGGGGATTCTGCAGACCTACTTCAAGTTGTGTGCCTTGCCGTGGCGAAAAAACGACTTGGGCCGTTTTCCTGGGGACTGGGGACGGGGTTGAAAACGGGTTTATGTTCGGTATATCACTCCCTGAGTTCCTGGACTTTGAAGAACTTTTCTTGGCAATTTAGTGGTTCACAAAGAGTTCAGACTTGGCCACTCGGGAAGTGAGGTATTGCTGGTCAACTTTGGGGTGCTAAACTGCCCATTCTGAAGGATATTTTTCAGACCTTTCATTTGGCACCCAGCTGTTGCTCAAAAGCTCCGGGATTTGCAAAATACCAACAGTTGGACGCCTTACGTTGCCCAAATCGCGTTGGTGGAACTACATGTCATATCGAAATGAATGCCACGCATGGCAATTTCCGTTTTTTTATTCCTCTTTTTTCCCCCCCATTTTTTTCTTTCTTTTTTTTGAATAATATTGTTTTATGCTTTTTCATGAAGAATGACTCTATGGTATGTGCATGCATGCACAAAAGTATACGCGTATAATCACACACACACACATGTATCCATTATATACATAAATTGGTACCCCCCCCCTGGAATACTCGGGTCGTTGTTCAAACAAGAAGGGTTTTGCAGTGGAAATGCATTTTAGATACACTTTCCAGCTTCTTAACAAACGATGCTCTACAGATGCACTCCTTTTTTTAGACTTGAATTCTGGCAGCAGTACTTAGTGCAATCCAGGATGTGTGCTATGTGATTCTCTTACGACTCTTTCTGGGATTCTTCAAAGCTGTACTTAGGGCAATCCAGGATGTGCTAGCACGTGCTAGCACTTCCTGGATTGAAGATTGAAGATTGGCGATTCTCTGACAACTCTTTCTGGGATTCTTCAATCTTCAATCTCCCATCCAGGATGTGCTAGCACATATTAGTTTGTCCTAAGTATGGACTTGAAGATTTCCAGAAAAGTGCCTGATAATCTTTAATCTTCAATCTTCAATCCATGCTAGCACATCCTGGATTGCCCTAAGTACAGGTTTGAAGAGACAAGGAGCGCACGTTCCAAGAGTCAGATTCTGGCGCACCGCCTGCATTTTGCCAGCATTTTGCCAAGGGGGGAAACATGTCTTTGGACACTTTGCAGATTTTTGGGGACTGGAGGGCTGGCCAGGATGGCCGATTCTAAAAGAACAAGATCTGGGAGATCTTCAATCTTCAATGCCGGTGGGAAAGCCTTAAAAGATTCTAGACAAAGCTGCCCAGCTTTTTGGGGGCCAGGATTGAGGTTGCTCTGAAACGATTTATGTGGATTCTTGAATAGTCGGCTGTCAGTCCAGGGCAGCATGATCTGATCAAATGCTGAAAACACCGCGTTTTATATTGACTTGGCTCAGTTCTTGCTTTGCTAAAACTATTTGGAGCTAGATACAGGCAAGATCCCGGATGAAATTGAGCTTGATTCCTGTTTGAACTGGCCATGACAACAGCTGTGTTCTTCAGTTGGTTGTTTGAAATGCAAAAGAAATGCAACCGATGAAAGTTGATTTTGGTTTCACCTCAAAATCGGTTTAACTTGGATATCCTTCCTAATTTGACAATGATGGAATAATATTAGACACATAACACACAACGGAGATAGCGGCTTTGCAACTTTGGCTTAAATGCACTTAGTTAGAATGTATATGGAAATATGTACAACATTTTGAATTACCATGTGCAGGCAATTGCGCAAGGACATGAAGGACCTTAATTTTGATTTGGATGTCAAATGCAAGTAGGATTTAATTCCTTTCCCCCAAGTGGATGGTTTGCTGAATTCCTTGTCAAACAAGCGAATAAAACTACATAACAGAGCTGTTACAGGCACGATGAAGCTGGCACAGCATACTTTGTGTACCGCTCTTGTGCTGAGAAGTTGTGCCTTTTGAGCTAGGGCTGCTGAAGTGCACTTCGCGTACTCCAATGTGACTTTGAGTGCACTTTGCGCACGCCAACGTGGCGTTCGAGCTGTTGAGCTAGGAAATTCTGTTGACCGTTGAGCTTAACTTCTGCTTGGTTGGACTTTGCATGGGGTCGCACGTCATGTCAATTCAGGTCGGAGTCGGGGCCCTCCCAGTCTGGCCAGAAACTTGAGTTCTGGCAAAAAATGAGTATTGCGCCAGCCCATCAATCTCGCAAATCACTTTCCCCTCTTTATTGGAAGTTAGAACCCCTGTATATCTGGGGGAAAACGCCCTGAATATGATGACACAAGATGCACCCACGTACGCAGTGCCACCCCAACCAGCTTGAACATCAGGTTTGGGCAAAATGCGACTAAACGGACCCTGGCCCTTGAACCGAACCCAAAAAGAGGCTGTTGACGCAATAGTGGCTTAAACATGCTTAAGCAAGAAAGTCGCCCAACCTGCTTGGAAATGACCTTTGAGGAGGGTTGTGTGCTCTGACTCGAGGAGTTTGGGGTTCTTGATCCCACCCGCACCCCCCTCCCCTTCCTTCCGTTTAAGCAGGGTTGCAAATAACAAATAAGCGCAAAGCACGAAACACACATTGCGATTGCCAAGCCTACACCCCACCCCAAGACCACAGAAGCGAACATCTCTTGTTGCATCGGCTGCGGCTTTCACGGTTGCTCTCGGTGCCCTTTGCCAACGCCCTTAACGACTGCCCTGCCCTTGTAGGTTTCCTCAAGTTGTACCTTTTGCCGAACAAGTTGCCACTTTTTGCAGGGGGTCAGTTCAACCTGGCCCAACTTGGGACCAAAAATCATCACTCTCCGAGGTACCAACTTTGTGGCGCTCTTCAACGTTTTTCCCAGGCGTGGAGATTGGGTGGGATACGAAGTCTCTTGTGGCAGGGGCCAAGAAGGACGTCAGGTGGGTGAAAAGAAGGGCAGATGTGGTCAGTTTTGAGGTTTTCCACTAAGCCACACAGAAGTATAATGTTAACCCAGGATAATAAGCATGTATCCATATGGGGGTGCCCCTGGTTTTAGTGGGGGCTCAGGGCTTTATTCATCCGGGTTCAACATGAACCACTGAATAACCACATGATGAGGGTAACATACCGTATCTTCGGGGTCAAGTTGGGGCTTGGGATGTTGATTTCGGATTTCGAGCCATCAGGAGCAAGATGCGCAGTCGAGTCAGCCAAAGTGGTTTGCCACTTTGTACGGGTGAGTTGTTCAATTTGCAGCCTCCAGAAATGGATCAAAGAAATGGTCCCAAATGGCCCGAGGTCACTGAACTGCGGCATGTTCCATGGAGTTCCATCCTTGATCACGAAAGCTAGCTTTAGCTAGCTGAAGTTTCTCCTTGCATAAGCAAGGTAAGGGGCTCAACTGCCGAAAGATTGATTTTTTCAATTATTTGAGCCGAAAAGATTTAAAAAAAACAATTATTTAGACCCCCCTTGTGGTTGTTTCTCAGACCAGTTGATCTCCCGCAACATTTGGCTCAAGGCCCCTTTTGTGTATATCATTGCATCATCAATGATCGCGTGAAGCAAAAGAACCTTTGCAGGCCGCTTACAGGATTCTATAAGACAATCCACCAGGGACAATCCATCCTCCAATCATCCACATTGGCATATTGGATTCTCTCCGGAATAGATCCAGGGGCCAACAACGACCTCTACTACCACAGGGTACCAGTTCCCTTCTGGGATAGGCACCTGGGGCAGTGGGCCTCAATTTGTGGTAGCGGAGCGGGTTTTCCGCAGAGATCCAAAAGAAGATGTCATCCGATGGGAGGAAACACTAATTTCTCGATGACCGCCAAGCAGACGGAAAAGTCAGCTGGTTCAGGTATGAAGAACTCGTGGACGACTGGGTGACCATCACAACGGTGGAAGCACCCGAGAGAGGACCTCTCCTCAAAAGCAGACTCACAGGAGATGCTTACATGTACAAGGCAGTCCTCCAAAATGACCTTCTGCAAGATCCTGATGAAGGAGTCAACTATTTCAAGAACACGCTGAAGAAGTACTTTTTGAAAGGTGCGACCGACGTGTATCTGTACAGGCTCGAGGCAGAACCAAGAGTTCCTCATTTTTACCTCAAAAGTCGAAATCCTTCTTATGAGATTGAAGGCAGCATGGATGGACTTGATGCCCGTTTTCACGGCACAGTCCCCATCATTTCGACAGTCCGTGCAGGACGCAAATGCAAGAACAATTGCTCGACATCACCAAGCAGCCGGTGTTCGAGCACCGCTTCCAGCCCTGCTCAATGAGGACGATCCGACAGTCCTCAGACAGTATATCCAAGGAATGCAGGACAGACAGCGGGACGCATTTCCCTTCGGGGATAATCTCATTGCACATTTTTTCATTATTCAAAGTGAGCTGTCAGATCAGCAACGAGAGAGACTGACAAGTGCAATGTCACTAAGAAACATCTCACTCGAAAACTAATTCTATGAGATGCTGAAGACGCACCACCATGAACTCTTCATCACGACAAAAACATCGATCCAAGATCCATCCATCCGACCTCAAGGAGGCAACCGAAGCAACACATTCTTCATCATCGAACAAGGTGAATACGAAGGAGAAGAAGGCTTCTTGGTTGAGGATGAAGAAGGACTTGAAGGATTCATGTCAAACAACGATGAAGAGACGTTCTGGGTCCTCGAGGAGAACGATGCGTTCATACCAAGAAAAGTGCCGGGGCGGAACTTCAAGTTCAAGAAGAGAAAAGGAAAAGGAAAATCAGGAAACAAAAAGGGCAGTCACCAACGAGGTGGCTTCAAACCCTTCAGAAAAAGCGGTTCTGGCGGAAAGGCCAATATGGCCAACGAAAACTATGATTTCTACGACCAGGCATATTGGGGAAAAGGCAAAGGAAAGAAGGGAAAGAAAGGAAAATCAAAATTCCAATATCCCTATGATGGAAACAAAGGTTATCCATCCTATGAGAGTGGCAAAGGAACGAGCGGACAGGAGAAATGAAAATCCAAGACGTTCGCAGCCACCGCAGAGAAGACGGAGGAGCAGCCCGCCATCCAGCAGACTGCACCATGCATAGAGCCTACCTATGCCGGTTGGACAGACCAAGACTGGGATCAATCATGGACATGGAACGAACACAGGACAAGCGTTAATGGCATTCCATGATGCATGTGAGCATCCTGGGAAAAAGGCCATCCACGAGAAGCTGATCCAATCAGATACAGTTTCAGAACACAGTCTGTCCGTCAGAACAAATCACAGCCTTCTAGCAACAAAGCTGATGGCGCCTGTCATCAACCCTCAGCACAACCCGACCTATGCGGTTCTGGACAATGGATGTACCAGATCTATGGGCAGCTGGCATGCAATCCAGCGTTTTACTCAGGCCATCGAACCAATGAAGGACATCATCTCCTATGAGTACATCCCGGCCGAGACCAAGTTCACTTTTGCAAACGGAGAGACCGCCAGGGTAAATTGGACCCTGCATCTTCGATATCACACAACTCCTCCATGCAGCACAAACATCGACGTCCTTGAACAAGGAACGGTACCAATCCTTCTCAGCATCAGCCAGATGCGGAACCTCTACATGACCATCGAGCACACACCTCAATGTGACAAGATCACATGCAAGGCTTTTGGCATGAACCGTCAAGCAGTCCCAGTATCCGGTGCAGGACATGCACTCGTCGATCTTGCTGGAGTTGCACATGGAGAAATTGCTCACAAGGGCCTCATCAACTATGTCTATGACGATGATAACAGCATCAAGTTTCCCTCCCAAGAGCGGAACTGTTTTTGCAGGAAAATCATCCGAGACAAAGGAGGACCTAGCAACTCCTAAGATCATTGGGCCTCAAAAGCAGGACCATTGGATCCTTGACAAGAAGAACAAGCAGCTCATCCGTGTGCACATCACGCCCCGAAAGGCGCTGTTCACACCAAATGGAGCCAAGGAATGTGATCACATTAGCCGAGAACGTACTACGGAAATCATTGATGCATCCGCAGGTGGAGATCCAGACATTCTAGAAGACAATTGGAGACTTACATCCCAGGCAAATAAACCGATGATTAACCTGTGGACAGGTAAGACCATTTTCACCTTCGCGGACAATTCGCTTAAGGACGAAGAAGCAGGTTCAGGATCGGCAGCAGACAGGATCATCGACAAGAGGGGCCGGTCGACTATTGAGCCAGATCCTTTCGCGCCATCCTCAGAAGAACCAACATCGCTTCCGCTTGCCCTAGGCAGAATCCACAAGCGATTGTCAAATCCCGAAGAGTTGAAGAAACTCCACCTGCAGCATCATCACATGACAACAGGTCAATTTCGATTTAGAACCCGAGCACTTCATTTGCCGAAATCAACATTCGATCTATTTGACAAGATCGGAAGTGAGTGTGAAGTTTGCCAAGCGGCAAAACATGCACCATCACGAAGCAAAACAAGTGGACTTCGAGCGGACACCTTTGGTGACATGACATTCATTGATCACTGTCAAGTTCCTCTTGGAACAGGAGAACACATCATTGTTTTTGTCATCCTGGACGGAGCAACAACATTGCTCACTGCAGAGGCAGTGACAACTACGCAAGAAGCCGAGAACATCACTGTCCTCAGGAACTATTTTGACCAGTACCACTTGCAGCCCAAATCAGTTGTCGCAGATCAAGCCTTCATGGCAGATACATGCGAACATTTCTATCAGTCCCTTGACATCACACCGATATCCTTGGGACCGAATACACCATGGCCAAACCGAGCTGAAGCAGCAGTTCGACTCCTGAAGGCACAACTCAAGATCATGCTAAGTTCCATCAAAGCAGGTACAGCACCTGCAACACTGAAGAAAGTGACATACAGGCAGCTAGTGAAGGCGTCTGCAACTGTCAGGAATCAGACCGTCACCTACGGGGGTGTAACACCATTGGAGCTCGCATTCGGAAGACGACCAGCAGATCTCATCCAACTCGATGTCGCAGCACCAACTCAGTTGACGATTGACAGGAATGAAGAAGAGCTGACAGCCATCCAGATCAAGCAGCTGTCAAAGCAAGCTTTCCAAGAAGCACGTCAATCCGAAGACATCCGACGTAATGGCACTGAGGATCTTGGCTTAGGAGCTGGTGCGGATGATTCCTTTTTCTCGGTATCTGCAGAGGAGCCTGGTTGCTCCTTCTCCAAGGATTCTCGCTCTTCTGGTAACAGAAGATCAATTCCGGGTTTCCCCGGAGGGATGGTCTCATCCTTCCTGAGCTTCGTCATGTTAACCTTGATGAGTCGAGTCCCAAGATCAAGTCCTACCATCGCTCCTTCAATGGAAATGACCTTTCCTTTTAGCCATATTCCTCCCTTGCTTCCATCGGAACGAATCTTGGATTTGTCTTCCTGCCAGTAGAGTACCTTGTCCTTCACCTGAAGAGGCTTTGAACTCATTCGGAGATTTTGAGCAAGGTCTCGTGGAAAAACAACTCCAAAACCTGCAGTACCTCATCCAGCAGAGAACATGTTCGTCGAGGACCTCACATCCATTCCTGAACAAGCACATTGGAATTGTGTACGTAAGGGAAAGATCCACGTTCTCGAGATCTTTGCAGGAAGTGCCAGATTTAGTCAATGCTGTGCACTATCAGGTCTTAAGGTTGGGACTCCCGTAGACATCCGCACAGGATTCGATGTAATGACATCCAAGGGACGACACATGGTCATGGAGATCATCAGGGAACAAGCACCTGATGTCATCCTTATGGCACCGGTCTGTGGACCATCCAACAGGACCAACAAAAGGTTGGGGAAAAGCGGAAACGCTACCTTCCCATGGTTGAATTTGTGGCATCCATTGCGCGATATCAGTTGAAGCA